CGCGCAGTTCGGTTTAGTAGGTGAGGTGGTCGGTTCTGTTAATGGGACGGGGCGCCCTGCTTGTATAATGGTAGGAGAAACACTGCACATTATGTCACAAAGTTATCAATAGTTAGTATCAGCAGTATGAAGAAAATACTATGTGACCGATGGCTGATTAGTTCTAATAATAATTAATTGGCAGAACTTTCCTGCTTGCTCTCGACAAGGACGGACGCTTTTTCCTCCCACTCTGCCTCCCTCCTGCTTTGATCATTGTTATTCCTGTTATTCCTACTGGAGCCTTTCACTACATATCCTCCCAATTGTAAATTATGGATCTGGTCAGCTGGTCTCTCAACGCAATTGATAACATTTTCTCAATGAGAAGATATGGTGAAGGAGAGCCCTCTTGCCTGGACGAGACACTTTCAGCTGGATACACAATGGATTCCTGGGTGCAGTGGAAGATCATGTGTCTGGCAGTATTGTTGGTCGAGGCTGTAGAAGATGCGTACATGATTGGATTTAAGATAAAACAGGATTTCTGCTTTTTGGAGTTGGCGGTCACCTGGCTTATCGACAAATGTGGAAAATGTCGGCAGCCGTTCTGGCCTTGGTATGAAGGAATGTACCGAGCGGTATGGACTCAGACACTAGATGAGCTGAGCCGTAAGCTGGACGCAATTTCTGAGAATCGCAGACCACTTGAAGCTCCTGGAACTCACTGGCGGGAAGGAATCGACCTTGAAGAAGGCTACAAGCTCAGCCAAGCGGTGTGACCACAACATTTGGCTGTTTGGAATCATCACTGAGACGTACCAGCAAAACTTTGAAGGCAAACATGAAAATCAAGCAGAGGCTGCCTGACCCAAAATAATTGTTATCTGAATCTGACTTCTCCACTTGGCCTTGAATTGTCCAATTATCTCAAATTTCTCCTGGTTGTTTATGTGAACGAGAAGCTATGCCCCCACCCCCTCCATCGCTCTACCCCCGAGGACATCTGTGGACCTGTGCTAGAGTTGAGCTGGCTGGGGAAAAAAAAAAAAAAAAAAAGAGTTGAGCTGGCTGATAGACATCTCCATCTCTTATCAGGACTATGGAACTTTCTGGCAGCATCGTCGGACAACTCACTGCCCTCATTGGCCTCATCATGCATAAATGTATTATGATGTCATCAGTATGTTGCTGTTTCTGTGCTGAGGCCATGTTTTTGCAATTTTCACACTGTGTCCCGTTTAGGATTTTTTTTTACACCTCCCCTCTCGTGTTTTTTTTCCTTATCTGAAAAATAGAGCTGCGCTACCCGAGGCTGACGGCCTCAGTCACCTCCGTCTCCCCATGTCTGTTTGTTTATGTTTCTCTTGGATAGGTTGTACTGAAATGTAATTTTGTTGTGCTTTGATGCAATGACAATAAAGCTGATTCTGAACGTCATTTCCAAAATGACCAGACAATCCCTTCAAGATTCTTCTCATTCATACAGGCTTACATTTCAAGTTGCTGGCAAAACATTCACAATTCTGAAGTAGTGGTTTCTGGATTTACTACTTTACGTTCTACATCTGTCAAAATCAGATTTTGTCTGAACAGTATGAAAAAAAAAACATTTCAAACAATATTAAAGAAAAATAAATTTCAATATCTTTGTAGAACAGATCAAAGCATGCTTTAAAACTTTTTTGACACTTGATATGAACAAATACATTTGTTTTTTTAAAGAAATCAATATAATTTTTCTGAAACTTCACCTCACATTTGAGTCAAATTTGAATGTAAAATAAAATTGAAACCACTCTGTTGCATTCCCACACCATCACATGCATCATAGTATATACTGATGATACACTGTGTATGTGTACTGTGTACACAGTGTACAGTATACACTGTACACAGTATCTTAGTGTCTATAAGACACATTTCCCCAGGTCTTTTGTACTGAACAGTGCAAACACAGCAACCAGCTCCATTAAAAAGAGGCCGATACGACACCGGATCCACACGGAGTCCAGTTTCATTTTATTTGTCCCGTCTGACGTTATGCACCACTTTCTCCTCAAATACTTTCCTCATTGTCTTTTCTATTTGCTTGAGGAAAACTTGTGGAATCCGACCACACAGAGTGTTGACTGTGCTCAGGAATTTCGTCTGGATGGGATAGAAGAGCGACTGGAACATGTTGTCTTCAAAGGGGAACTGTAGAAACAGAGACAAGGCTGTCAGTGCTGATACCAAAGCTACTTTAAGTTTAACAGAAGGAAAAAAATAGCCCCGTGAATGGTATTTTTCTGTCAGCAGGGTTTGGGGCGGGGTTTCTGTATTAATCATAAATTGCGTCCCGGCTCGTCTTGTAAGAGGCTTATCTCAGCAGAGCAGAGGGAGCTCACTTTGCTGCCAATGAATACAAATTCTACAATTAAAAAGTGACCCAGATTGTTGAACGTGAGCTCGAGATGCAGCATCGTCGAACTGTCAGCACTTAGAGCTGCTCTTTGGGTCAGCTTGTTCTGTACACTAAAGGAGCAGTCCAGCAAGTTTAGGAAATACAGTTGCAGTCAGAAGTTTAAATACATTCATGAATGAATGTCAATTAAATTTCATCCATCCATCCATTTATCCATCCATCCATTCATTTTCTTCCACTTATCCGGGGTCGGGTCGTGGGGGTAGCAGCTGAAGCAGCAAGCCCCAGACTTCCCTCTCCCCAGCCACTTGGTCCAGCTCCTCCGGGAATCTCGAGGCGTTCCCAGGCCAGCCAAGAAACATAGTTCCTCCGGCGTGTCCTGGGTCTTCCTCTGTGTCTCCTCCCGGTGGGACTTGTCCGGAACACCTCACCATGGAGGCGTCCAGGAGGCATCCTAACCAGATGCCCGAGCCACCTCAACTGTCTCCTCTCGACGTGGAGAAGCAGCGGCTCTACTCTGAGTCCCTCCCGGATGACCAAGCTTCTCACCCTATCTCTAAGGGAGAGCCCAGACACCCTGCGGAGAAAACTCATTTCAGCCGCATGTATCCGTGATCTCATTCTTTCAGTCACAACCCAAAGCTCATGACCATAGATGAGGTTAGAGAAGGAGAGCCTGTGATTGGAAGATCACAGGTTCGACCCCCTGGATCTACATCAAAATGCGGGTGGGAAAGGTGAAACACCAACACCCGTCTCCACCCTCATTTGCCCCACTCTGGGCCCGCCCTTGAGCAAGGCCCTTAACCACCACCATCTGCTCCCCCAGTCGCCCTAGATAGCAGCTCTCTGCTCCACACAGAGGGCTGTGGTAGCTTGGTGGTCTGTGGTTGTGTCAGGAAGGACATCTGGTGTAAAAACAATTGTCAAGTCTTCATGTGAGTTTGCTGTGGCGACCCCTGAAGAAGGGAGCAGCTGAAAGAAGAAGAATTAAAAGTCCTAAATTTAATTTAAGTGGAGAAGTTTAAGTATCTCGGGGTCTTATTCACGAATGAGGTAAACTGGAGTGAGAGATCAATAGGTGCAGCGTCTGCAGTGAAGCAGGCGCTGTACTGGTCAGTTGTGGTGAAGAGAGAGCTGAGTCAAAAGGCGAAGTTCTCAATTTACCGGTCGATCTACGTCCCTACCCTCTGTGCCACCACTCCCTTCATAATTTATGGCTTTTAATTTTTTATTTAGATATTTCCCAGGATGGAATAATTAAACAAAACAAATTAAAATTTCATGGTTTATATGTAAACTTCTGTCCACAACTGAATAGAATATTTTTGCATATTGTCCTGAAGTAATTGTTCGAGGTGTGCCATTACCTTTGACCAAGACAAAACCTGAACCTATATGCAAACCAGAATATTTAGCAAAAACTTAGTACAAAAATGTTTTATTTTCATTTCTTAATTATATTTAGAAAAATTAACAAGTTTTTTCCTGTTCATAATGTTGGCTGTAAGTGCACACACAACACATGACACCAACTAAATTAGGCATTTGTTTGATTCTTTAACTGAAAATATGTCATATAGATCATGTATGTTGCTGTACCATAACATGGACCTTCTTTCAGCTGCATTCTGACACAGTCACACTGATAATGAATGCATACACTAATTATACAACATTTTGTTGCTTTACAGAACAAGTCATGTGCTTTAGTTGACACACTTTTCTTTTTAATATTTAAATGAGCAGAACACAGAGAGGCATGCCGCATCACCACATATGTGTGTATATACATTTTTACTGATACTCCATGTACTGTATACTCTCATTTGTGTAAACTGTTATATACAGAACATGTATATTTTATTAAGTGCAACAATATGGACAAGTGAAAACGAGAGCATTTAATCAGAGACCACAAATGAAGTAGGCCTTCGTTTATCATGGGACTTCTGTTCCCAGCTCCTCCGCGATAAGTGACAAACTGCAAAGTAGGAATAGTAGTACAAGTAGTAGTAGTAGGAAGTAGTAGTGTATTTTAGTATTTATATATATATATATATATAAATGTGTTTTAAACCCTTCCCACACTCTTCCAATGTTCTAAACAATGTTTCTAAACTCTAAACCATATGTGTGAAACTCAAGGCCCAGGGGCCAAATGTGGCCCTCGTTGACATCTTATCTGGACCCGAAGATGTTATTTTAAATGTAAAATACTTTAATCACTTTAATTTTTTCAGTAATATTTGATTAAGATGTCAAAAGTGCAACAGAGAACATCAAATGAGGCCAATCAAACTCTTATTGAGGAACCTGCAACCAAGAGAATATATTGGGTACCTAACTTGAGTTAATGTAGATTCTGAAACCAGCCCTTAGTTTGAAAAAGGTTTTAATTCTGGCCCCCTTTTGTAAGTTAGTTTGACACCCCTGCTCTAAACGCTCTAACAGAGCACAACGTGTCATGATCTTCGCTTTCTGCCACCTGCTAACACCTGCCATCGCTGTTTCTGTTCTTTTAGTTTTAGCCACTTTTATCTATTACATGATACAATGGCATGCCATACACCTCGTGTGCCATTTAGCGACTGAAAATGGTAGTGTTCAATATTTTCAGTCAGAATGAATGAAAATGGTCATATCTCAGCCAAAAATTGGTTTATAAATATGAGAAAAAAATCCATAAATACTTCGCTTCGGCGTATACGTCGCAGAGCATGTAAATTATGAAAAACAAAGTGATTTATAGGGCGAAAAATACGGTATACATACTTAAACTTAGATAATGTCCATGAAAGGAAGTTAGCAGATAAAACATGATCAAACTGTGTGAGATTCTGGATGGGAGCAGTAAGTGTCTGGAACATGGATCGCTGCTGCAACAGGACCCCCACACACTGAATGTGACTGATTGGTGCAGACAAATGGTAAATGAACTGTACTTATATAGCACCTTTCTATCTTATTTCAAGATACTCAAAGCGCTTTACACTACAATCTGTGTCCTCATTTACCCATTCATACAGCACTCTACTAGATCTCTACAAAGCTAATTGAACAAATCATTCTAAAGAGACTAATCAGAGCTTTATCACATTCATACACTGATGGGACACACATCAGAGGCTATGAGGGGTTCAGTGTCTTGCCCAGGGACACTTCGACATGTGACTGCTGGTGGATTCGAACCCCCAACTCTCGCATTGGAGGACGACTGCTCTAACCACTCAGCCACAGCCGCCCCAACAGAAGAACCTGTGCCTAAGTGCAAAATTCCACACTTTAAATGACATAAAATCAATGTGGAGCGTTCGATGTGTAGCTCTTCATGACAGTGGAGTATTTGCTCCCCCACTTCAGATCTATCGGTAAATCAATAAAATTACAAGAGCGCACAATAATGAGTTTTTTTCTGACATTAGCCTTTCCTCTGTAGTTTATCAATACTTTTTGTTTAGTTTTAAACTCTGTAATAAATCTGTTGTTTCATGCAATGGCCTGGTGGTAGCACAGATCATGTACCACACCTTGTTCATTTTGCTCAAATACTGTGTAACATTAAACATTCCATGCATTTATGATAAGCTGTACGTACTTCAAATTGACGCTCACACATATCGTGAGTTTTGTGAAAAAAATAAAAGGTAACTGGAGACACACCTTTGCTATAATCTTGGACATTCAAATATCCATCTTAGTGTTGATATTGTTTAATTCAAGAACTAAAAGAACAGAAACAGTGATCCCAACTGAGAGACTTAAACAGGCAGAGTGTGCTCCCACAGCAGCTAAACAATTTGATGCATAACCTTTGTATAATGCTTTTTTAAACTTTTTTTTAACTAACGCCACAAAACCCTTTACCATCCTGACAGTCAGTGGGCTGCAGCCATGCTCTAAATTCTTTGTTTGCATTTATCCATTTAATTCTGCTCCTGTAGTTTTCCTGATTTCACTCTAACACACAATCTGCCTTCACACTAAAAGTGGATTTTAAAATTTACTGTGATCCAGAAACAGGGCCATCATCCAGTGTGAGTGGGTCCTAGAGAGATCAAAAACTGAGGGAACTATGAGTGAAATTCTCTGTCCTGATCTGTTACTTTTGTTGCCTCTGAGACAAAGGTCACTTCAATCCCAAGTTGTTTCGAGTGGTCACTTTTAATTTATGACAAACAATTTTATACTGCTAGGACGAGCCTCTTTTAAGACACAAGAGGAGAAGTGAATGGAAAACAACAGCAATAAAAACAGTTACTGTATTTTTCGTATAAGTCACACCTTTTTGTATAAATTTGCAAGTCCTGCTACTTATACACTGACGCGACTAATTTATGTTTTTTCCCCCATATTTATAAACCAATTTTTGGATGAGATCTGACGATTTCATTCATTCGGACATGGAAAATATTGAACACTACCGTTTTCAGCCACTAGAGGGCGCACAAGTAGTATGGCCAGCCAAGTGTGTCATTAATAGGTAAAAGTGGCTATTAATGAGACATTTGGCTTGCTATACCAAGTCATCTTTGTCTCGCACCAGAACTCCTGGAGCAAATGTCAAATCAGCTGCATTTTCTGCTTCGAAAAACTGGTCATGACTCACATCAAAACAACCATCAACATCAACGAGGACCCTCATCAGTATGCATAACGTGAGAACCGATCAACAGAGGATGCAATCTCCTCTGTGGTCCACACTGCACTCAACCACCCGGAGCAGAAAAACTCTTACGTCCGTATGCTCTTTGTGGACTTCACATCTACCTTCAACACCATGATCCCCCAA